TATGATACAATGGGTTTTTGAGGCTTTTGTTTGTACATCTTAATCGTCATTGTATTGCATTGCATTATTATGCTTTGCAGCCTGCAATTAATGCTAAAGAGCTCATAAATTATTTAAATATAATCTTACTAAGACAAATCAACTGATATTAAGCAGAATTTTATCTTACTTTATGGTCATATAAATAATAACATCTCCACCAAAATGCATATTTGTGCTCAATTTGGGTTATTTTCTTCCTCGAGTGTGAGCTCCATATTATCACTTTATAATAGCCTATGTGTGGCATGTGCCAGGCCATTAAAGCCTTATCAAATATGATGCAGGAAATAAAACCCATATGTTCCATATCAAAAAATATGAATTTCCGGACTATTATTAGGTACATATGTCAAGCTTTACAGTGCTAACTCTATAAATATCCCTTCTCGCCTCAAATGCTTCACTGATATTTGACCATATCGACCTCTCGCTCTAGTCTAGCTCGTACACAAAGTTAATACAGACCGAACACTTATTCTCACCTGATAATTACATACATGACCAGACAGTTCCCCACGACCCCCACCACGCACACTATCAAGTAGACCACAACGACGGTGATCTTTGCGCTCCTAGGCAGCGGTTCGTCACCATCTAACCCACTTAAATTCCCCTGAAAACGCGAGTCGTTGAACATCTGTTGGACGTCCGACAACTCGAGCAATTCCATCGTCAAGAGAGCCTAAAACTATAGAAGAGAAGATAGAACACTAAAAAAAACACGTGTATGTCTCACAACAAGCAATTGAATACACTCCAATCAGGTGTAAACGACGCCCACATCATTCAATATTTATATCCTCTCTGAGGGAGTAGTATTGTAAAGTACGCTACTTACCTCATGAAAAGTGCAAACCAAGCTTAAAGTAGGCTATGTGACGCTGTCCGGTGACACTGCAGAGAAGTGGATCCATCTTAACTCCAGAAAAAAGACATTCTTGCCGCTTAAGATTTCATGCTCAGTGAGACGAATCTCCTCTCCGTAGAGTGCGGCGTTCACTTCTCACACATCAAGACGTTAATCAAACATTGCGCGTGCGCGCGCTCGCGTGTCGCGTGAGTTCAAGTTTAGCTCCAGGGTTGGTTGCTTGTTGCACTTTTCATTTTCTGTTGAGTATCTCTAGTCTAATGGAACAAACATTGAGATAACCTATAAAATAAATCTTAAGTCCCTGGGTTTAAAAGGACAAATTTAATGTCACAGAATAGGCTATTGATTTATTATGATAGGCAATAGGCTACATAATTGATGTTCAGTTCACAATATTTTTTCTTGTAAATAGTTTTAATTAAGAACTGTATATACTAAAAATACAAAAAAGTGATTTAAATAACCAGTAACAATGTTTCTGTTTTCAAAACTTAGGCTTCTGTTCTGCTCCTCAATATATGGTAACAGGATAAGACAATTCAAAGCAGGAAGCAAAGTAGAACATTATAGCTGATGATGCAAAACTAAATAGGTAACCAGACTATTATGACCATATTTTCAACCTAGTCAAAAGGCTGCAGTCTTTTAAATAAGCTTCAGTCTATAAGGAGACATAAGGCATCCAGCCAAAAGTGCATTACAATAATTGAGTCTTAAAGTTATGAATGGATGACCTAACCTCACAGTTCTTATATATATATTCCCACAAATGTAGCAAAGGAAAATTACCTTTGATGCAATCTGCCATCTTGGAAAACTGTCAAGTTTCATCTGGTCTAGAGGAAATATGTTTGTCTTCTGCATAACAATGAAAGCTAAAGGCTAACGCTGCCTAAAACGAGCATGTATAAAGAGTGTTATTGCTTTACACAGAGAGAAACTGCCCTCTGCTGAAGGGCATTGCACAAGATGAGCTGCAACCTTTTTTCTTTTTACCTTGGAATTCACCACAGACCTCTGAAATATATCATATGACAGTTTCAGAACAATGAATTCAGTAAAACAATAGGTATTGGTGAAATATTGAGATTTTGTTGCAGCACTGACTGAGACAGAGATATTATAACAAAAATCATGTGTAGCATAATGTAGGCCTAGGCTACACCCATGTGTCTTCCGTTGAGATAAGTTACTTGGAGGAACTAAAATAATTAAAATGCACAGAAATATAATGATGAACCAAGTTACGAGTATAAGAACTGCTTTCGAAATATTGTGGTAGCTTTACACTTTAAGATTATTTTGCTGTGCAGCGTTTAACGCACAGAGCTACGTAAAACACTCACATATAACCTTGAGAGGAAAATTTACAATGCCTCTGCCAGTGCCATCTTATTTACAGTGAGAGCCTTTACTCATGGCTGTTGGTGATGCAGTATGACACACAGAGAGAGAGAGAGAGAATATTTATAGTGATGTTGTGCTCTGGGCTACAGCGTGTTTATAAGGCAGCACATTCGGCTGACACCACTGCAGTTCGTGGTGGAGATAAATGAGGGGATATTTTGTATCTCTGTGGAGAACATTCGCTGAAATGTGAGGCAATCAATTTTCAACCAGCACTCACAAAACAGCTGCTCTGAAAAGCAGAGGTTGGAAGACTCCGAGCGATGCTGGGGTCAAAATGAGCCAATGAGCTGGAGAGGAACTGGAATAGCAGTGACAGGCGAGAGGCAATGTGGTGACAGGTGGAAGAGAAACAAAATGTATAAAAACCGAGTGATGTGAAATGGACACCGAATTGTTCATTTGAAATGCCTCTTCCTCACCAAGCCATGCCATGTGAGTGCCTTAGCATGTGTGTTTTTAATGGCATTTGGGTTTAAAACAGAAACAAACATGCTGGATAAATATATTTTCCTCTCAAAGGAGATTCTATGTGTTTAGACAAACAACGATAATCCTGTGTATAATCACCATTACATTGCCTTTAAATGCCCTCTGGTGCAATTGAATGAGGAGTAATGGCTAATTGAAACACTTAGAAAGCCTGAGATAATGACATTCATAATACCAGTGACCTGAATGCTCAATAAAAGCACGTCCTTAAGAGTTCCGCATGGAATGCAGCAATCATTATAGATTTAAGAAGAGGACACCAGAGGGAAATTGTCACACGCTCAATAACTCAAATGAGAAGTAATGATTAAAATGAATCAGCACAGCATGTTCAGTTAGACACTTTATCTGACAGAGAAAGAAAGGCCATTACATATAAGTGTCTTTGAGATCTCTGTAATAACATTATCTCCATTATTTTTAAGATGTTCTGTTAAACTTGAATGGGATCAATAAGCTTCTAGCTAGTTAGCTATTAATCTTGCAGGAAAGCAAAATTTAATTATGGCTGCTAGACAATTTTGATTTTAACACTTGTTAGATTATACTTTTCTTGTAAATGTATATTAACATCAGTATAATGGCCTTGTTCTTTCGCCTAAAATGGATTAATGTTTCATCCGTGTATCATCCGATCATTTGATTTCTATGGTGGCCCACTAGTGCACAACACAACAACACTTAAAAAGCAAGTGTATTTCTTTTTCAAATTATATTATAATAAATTATACGTTTTAATCACTTGGTGGAATTGCCAGACGTTCCCTTTGGGATCATGCGCTGTGGTAGTGCGTCAAATCATTCTCGAGTATAAATACACAGCTATAATTTATGTATGTGATTTTAAAGTATATATTAAAGTATCGATATACAAGGGTTACATACTGTTAAACTAATCGTGGTATTGGTATATTAAGACTACCGACTATAAAACAATGGCAAGGAAAGCTAACGTAGCCTACTGTGCTCCAGGAGTCCTTTAGTGGTTGGGAGCATTTCTGTTGTGTTGCGGCTTTATTTCGTTGTGTTGTAGATTTTCCGTTGCGTTGTGTCTCATGAAAAAATGGCACCTTTATTTGTTTTTTTGGTTTTGTTTGTTTGTTTGTTTGTTTGTTTGTTTGTTTGTTTTAAAAAAACGAAAAAAAGATTTCGGCTTTGATTTTTCGTTTTTTAGTTCACAGGCAAAAAACAAATACATCGTTTTCCAGATGTGGGCGCCCAATTCCGGTGATTGGTCAAGTAAATCTGAGCATATGTGACGTGTTAATATTTAGAATTTAAATTGTTCAAAATTAAGTTGGCCCAACTCAATAATAAATATTTATAATTTAAATTTTCCAAATTAAGTTGCCCAAAATCAATTTGACCCCAATAATTAAAAACTCCACAATATGATTTTTTTTTTTTACAAAGGTTTCAGTTCATTTATGTTGACTACTTAAGTAACCTTTACAGTAAGTTGACATCCACCCACCACCCCTCTCCCCATCCCACCTAACCCCTAATATATAGGCTACCCATTGCATGACGGACAAATTTACAAATTAACATAAAATCTACTGATTGACCTAAAATTGGAAAAGTATAAATATATTTGGTGTTTTATTTGTTTTATAATAAGTATAGATTTTTGTAATCTATAACATTTGGAAAGAAAAAAATATTTATTTTATCAAGGATAGTAACACGAGTTATGTTTGGGGTCAATCTCACAAAAATTATGTTTTCCCCTCCCCATGGCACAGGAAATAATTATTAGTTCTCATGAGAATAGTCACTACTAGTGGTTCTCGCAATACTACAGATATGGTTATGTTTGGTTAGAGCCCTAAAACAGAGGGACGTTTTTTAATATGATATTGAATATGTAAAATAACAATGAACATTATAAATTCAAATTATAACATGCTATAGTGACCTCAATAAAACAACCAAAACAAATGTGTGTGTGAAATTTTAATATTTCTTCTGTTTTATTATACAACTAAAAGAGCCTGTGGTCAAATTGACCCCAAGGAACACCGATGCTACAAAATGTGTACAGGACTTTAAAAAAAATATTAGCAGGTTAATTTTATGTTTACAGAGTTGTCCCCATTAAATTAGGAAAAGTCATTAAATCTGAAGCAATATATATATATATATATATATATATATATATATATATATATATATAAATATGTGGTTGAACAACATTGAACGGGGTCAAATGGATGGTCAAGGATAATAGGAGGGTTAATGCAGATTTATTATTAATCACCAACACTGAACACAAGCAGAAGGATTTTATTCCACTGGAGGCGCCAAAGTTTTAGTTTCAAGCTTATACGTAATTTACAAAATATATAATAATAAGCTATTTACACACAGTCACACATGAACATTTATGTACTGTTCATAAATATTTACTTACACTTCAAGACAAGTTTTACAATTTTGAGTTAATAGGACCTCATTGATGGAGTTGTGTTAGGGTACAAAAAAGGTTTCAGCACTCCAGCATTTTCTTAAACGCCTTTCTGAAACTTTTGTCTAAGAACGCGTAAAGGAACGGATTGAGACACGAGTTGGCATAACTCAATCCTGTGATAAAATAAGAGATACCTATAACCAGTGGAGTAGTGGGCAAGTCTGACGAGAGGGCTACCACTGTACTCAGGTGGAAGGGTGTCCAACAGAACAAGCAAACGGCAAGCACGACGAAGACCATCACTGTGACTCGTTTCTTGGCTTTGTCCAAAGCCTTGCCGTTGGAGTTGAGTCGCGTGCGTCTCAGCTTGTAGAGCATCACGCAATAGAGGATGCAAATAGTCGATACGGGAATGACAAACCCGAGGACCAGCGTGTAGATCCGACTGGCTTTGAACCAGAAACTCTCAGGGCTCGGGAAACTCAAAACGCAGCTCTTCCGGCTCTCCGCGTCGTCGGGACTCACGTAAACACCGGCGAAAACGGTGAAGGGCATCACGATGAGAATGACTAGAACCCAAACGCTAAGGCTGACCGTCTTGGCCAACCTGTAGGTCCGGTGGGGCATCCGTTTGGAGCGCAACGTGGAGACCACGACCAGATAGCGGTCCGCGCTCATCACAGTCAAGAAGAGGATGCTGGAGAAGATGTTGTAGTGATCTATGGACAGAATCACTTTGCATAAAACCTCTCCAAATGGCCAATAGTTTAACAGGTGCTCGGCGATATTGATGGGCAACACCAACGTGAAAAGGTCGTCGGCAATGGCCAAATTCAAAATGAATAAGTTGGTGACGGTTTTCATTTTAGGCGCCTTTAAGATCACGTAAATGACAGCGGTGTTGCCCGTGAGTCCCACGGCGCAGATGACAGAGTAAATAACCGGTAGCCAGATGTAGAAGTCAGAGTAGAACATCCACATTGGAGAAGTGCAGTTAGTTTGGTTATAATCCGGACTGGTCAGGTTGCATGAAGATTGCATTGTTTTGTTGTCCATAGTGTCTTTGAATTCTATTAGAATCAGAATCTATAGTAAAATGTAAAACTTTATTACAAAAGAAAATAAAGTGTTTTTCTTTATTTTCTTCTTCTACACAGTAAATGTATGTAATTGTATTAGTTTGATTATTACATAAACAATTAAATTCTAAATAAACTGTATTTTGCATCTATTCGTAGTTGTACTATAGGTTACTTACTTATAGATTTTATTTAGGCTATTGTTTCCCGAAATAGAAAATGAAGTGAAGTCATCTTACCTGGAAGACCCAGACACACAGGATCTTCTGCTGGTCTTCTCTGGTACTCCATGGACACTTTGTGGTAAATGGAATGCAGAGCGCAACGCTTTTACGCGCGCGATTTTACGCAATATGATGTAACAGACTTCCCAACAGTCTCTCACATATCATTTTCATCCTTTATTGTCAGGCAGGAACACAAAACGTTTCACGATTGCAATTCATCCAGTTTATCCAGTTTTGTCTAACACAATGACTACTGCTGTCGTATAATGCATTGTTCTTGTTGTAATACTTTGAGAGTAAAAAGAGCCAGTGTTAAACGTCAGTTAATGACAGCGGTTCTCGCAAGTCAACCAAATATTTTTGAGCTTCTGTTTATCACAGCTGATGTGTGAGTTGATGAATGTTTACATGTGAATAAAAGCCTAAATTCAATCTGTTCATCAAATAAAACGATTTTGTCTTGGAAAGTTTTGGACTACCGCTCAATTCAAATGGATTAGTTTTACGATCTCTTTATGAACTTTTTGAAGCATCAAAGTGTTATTTAGCTGTCAATTTCATCAAACAGATCGGTAACACTTTACTTGAAGGGGTGTGCATAAGAGACTAACATGACACCTTCATAAAATGACATGACTGACACATGTTATGAATATGAAGGAAGTTTTATTCATGTTTATAACAACTGTCATTCACTCAATTATGACATTTTTAATGCAAATATGACATTGTTTGAGATGTCTTGTTTCTGACAACTTGACATAAACCAGTAAATCATATAACCTGTCAGTGTCTTTGTCACGACAACTTGACATTACTAAGACAACACAACCTGTCATAAACATGACATAGCAGATTAATTAACAAACTTAAAAAAACACAGCTTTATTGTTTAACATTACATTATATAATATAAAAAAATATTTTCAAGTTTTGTAATCACAACATATTTTCTTTTGTCATATTGATTTATAAAAATCAATATTTAGTTGAGATAACTTTGAGATTATTTTGAGTTTCTGATGATTAAATTAATCTCCTTCATTTTATTAACTCACTTTTTCTAGTTCAATCAACTTAAAATTTTAAGGCAACCCAGGTTACTTACTTTTTTAAGTTAAACCAACAATATTTTTTCACAGTCTAGTGATCGCGACAGTTTTTTCTTTTGTCAAATCAACTTAAATAATTAATTTAGTTCAGATAACATATAATTTTGAGTTTCTGATGATTAAATCATTATCCTTCATTGTATTAGCTCACTTTTTCCAGTTCAATGAACTTAAAATTTTAAGGCAAACAGGTTACTTACTTTTTTAAGTTAAACCAACAATATTTTTTTACAGTGTATATATAATTTGTTTCAAGTCAATTTTGAAAGTGCAGGTCAGGGCTGTAGCCACCATACTGTACACAATGACGTCCTGTCCAGATGCTTTTATTTCATATATATATATATATATATATATATATATATATATATATATAAATTTCTATTTATTTCTTTTGTCCTCACAGTAAAAGTTCAAAAAGTTCATTATGCCCAGACCCCAATTTACTCCTCTATTAACTCCTATTCACTCCTATTCATTTGAATGTTATTTTTTTTTTTAGATGTAAAGAATATCCTAGAGTTCCTGAGACTTGCACCGCTGTCACATGACTAAAGCCACTTTTTATGTGTTACCTTGATTGATACTTTGTCATGGCTAAATCAGAACATATGCATCCACTCAGAGAGAACATAATGGCCTCTGATTTACGGGGAGAAAGCTACTTTAAATCACACGTCTTAAGTGCTTTTTCTCAGTGTTACAGAATGAACCTGAAAATATGCTGTGTATAATATGCTATATATCTATCATATGTGATTTTTGAAAGCCCCATGTGCATAAAGGAAGACGGTATGACTTTTTTCATATTAAATCAACCACAAACACTTTACCATGACAACTGCAAATATGTTTTGAAAGTATTGACGTCAGCAGTCAGTGGCTAATACTGCCACAGTTCATTTATCTAATTAAAAAATATCTTACATAAACTTTACACTGAAACACTATTCTTCACATCTTGCTCAAAAATATAAATTGACCGGTTATGACCCTATTCATTCTATTTACATTTTCAGATGGGTTATATTCTTTTGTTTCCTAGTTCTGATGTTTGAGTGATACTCAAAAAATTTTATCAAAAGTGAATTCATACTTGAAATACTTACAAAATGTTTACTTATATACGATATACGTATATATATATATATATATATATATATATATATACTGTATATACACAGTGAAAAATTCTTCAAAGTGATAAAAGCAAATACCTCTATGGGAGCTTGCAAAATAGGACACAGTGTCCTTTTCCAAGGAGAGAGGGAAAGCACAGTACAAAAGAAAAGTAGGTTGAGTGATGCAGGGCCAGACAGCTCGACCATATGCTCCATGTTGGAATTTGAGAACACCATTTTGAGGTGCAAACTCAAAGATGTGTTTCATCACAAGCTGCCTGATCTGTTCCATTTCCACACCAATTCTTATGAGTGAAGAAGTGTGTATTAACAACCACAGATAAAACGTATAAAAAAAATGTTGCAAAAAATGTGCGCACTAGTGTTCCATGGTTTTTTCAGCCTACACTCTTAAAAAAGTTTGTTTATTGGTATATCTGGTTTCACAAGGAACATTCAACATCCATAGAACCTTTCCAATACACAAAGGTTCATTAAAGTGGACAAGGGGTCTCAATATTTTTTAAATGTTCTTCACTCTTCTTTAGGGAACCCAATATGGTTCTTTTATGGCATCGCTGCAATCTCTTTGCAGACTAAGAATATGCATTAGAAGCAAAAAGTTTTTTTTTTCTTTTTTTGTAGATTCACCAATTTGGTGTGTCCAGGGTGGTTCTTGCCTCACCAAATTGGTGTGAATCTATTAAAAATAAAATCACATCTTTTTTCTAATGCATATTATTATCTTAAAAGTCAGTTTTAAGATATGATTTCACTTGTCTTTTTGGAGTGTTCTACGTATTTTATAAAATGTTTACTATAGGGATAATTCACCCAAAAATGAAAATTCTGTCACCGTTTACTCACCCATATTTTGAAGAATGTTGTCAAAAGTCTTTAAAACATCTTCTTTTATGTTCAGCACAAGAACGAAATTAATATAAGTTTGGAAACACTTGAGGGTGAGTAAATGGTAACAGAATTTTCATTTGTGGGTGAACTTCGGGTGATGCTTTAAGTTATAATCCTTAGATTTGAAATAGGTATTGTTATTAGCCACATTAGCTGTGGACATTTTGTTATGTATGTTTTCATTAAAAGTACAACATGAAGACAATATTTATAGTTTCGATTAATGTTATTGTTCTTTACATAACCTCTGTAACCGCTGGGGCTCAAGCAGCTTTTATTTTTTTGCATTTGTCTTTTTCAGCCCTATTCGTTGGCCCTTGCCATTAAAACCGCTTTTTTTGCAAGAATGATTTATCAAATAAGACTTTTTAAGACCTTTTTTTATTATTTTAATTTCACCCTGTGGGATTTTAAATCATTTCCGGCCGATAATAGCAGTGTGTTAGAACCCCTTTGCTAATGGATAAATGAGTGGTGCTGAGCCAATTTACAGGCCTAATGGCAGGAAATGGAAGCATTACAATTTTCTCTTTCTTTTTCTCCTCTTATTTCTTTAACAGCAGCCTGCTGTTTTTGCAACAGTAGTATCTCACTTAGCACATTTATTATATGCAGATGTTTTCCAGTTGGCTGTTGGGTTCATTTGTACTGAGAGTGTCAGTGCATTATTATGTGTACATGGAAGTCTTACATGCACTTGGGTGCCTGTGTGTGCGTTTGCGGATTGGGGTGTTATTGATTAAGGACAGAAGAGTTTAAGATTTCTAAACTTTTTACATTTTGAGTCATATTACAAAGTGCAGAGGGCCAGAATAGCCTTTCAAGGTAAACTGGATGTAGATTAGGGTCCTCTCCCTGTGCTCTAAAGTCCAGAAAACACACGGCTCAACTCATAACGCCTATTCTTCAATAAACATTTCTGATTACCAGGCTTATTTCTGATTACCAGGCCTTTAAATGTATTTATTTTGAGCCAAAGTCCTAAATGATAAAAGCTAAATAACATAACAGATGACAATGGCTGAATTAAAATGTTTTCAAACAAACAGAATGATGGAACATTTCCCGAAGGAGTCTAATGATTAAAATTGAGAGTGATAAGCCAATAAGATCTCAATGTGGAATATTCAATTGCTTGTAATGTTTGAATGCATGAATGAAGATGTTAATCAACTCTGTAGCCATAATAAGAATCCAAAAGCATATTGAGTGCGTCTGTGATGACGGGGTCCTGCTCTGACTCTCACTTTGCCCTGGAAACTCAAATCCCAATCAACAGTTGTAGCCATCAATTTCCCCAGATGAAAGGCAGTGTTTAGCATGTTCTTTGCATAATGAATGTGATCATGAAAAGTTCTTGGCCTCTGAACTAATGAGGATAAATATTGTCGTTCAGTCTGTTGCCTGGGGAACAAGCTCAGCTCCCGATGCTCTTATTGATGACCAACAGCAGAGACTGAGAACTAATGGAGATGCTTCATCCTTATAATCCCTGATGTTTTTTTGATTTTAGCTAAATGTAGAAAATTTCTGTCCACAAGGATCAAATCTGTTGTCATAGCTTGTTATTTGTATTCTGTTGCTGTATAAGTTGGCAGAGGCATAATGTCTGCCAGGATTCAGAGAACAAAGGAAGCAGAGATAATAGGCTATACTTCTAAACAGAATGTGAACAATGACTGAGGATGACACTAGACAAATCATTGGACAAATAACGCAGACAAACAGTTTCAGACTGTGGATAAGATGAAAGGGATTGTATGGGAGAGGAAATAAGAGAGAGGAGAATACAAGTTCAAACTAACGAGGACAGTGTTTTCCCCTTTCTCAATAGCTATCAGAAGATTTTTAGGATGAGAGGCTCGTGCAAAACTCGGGTTTCTCTGGTCAAGACATAGAAGAGAGACTGACTAGTATAAAGGAAATTCAAACACATAAATGCATACTCACGCTTTTTGCCAGACATTTTAGTGATATTCTTTGCCTTTCTCCAGCAGAGGGCAGGATATTACAAAAATATTAAAAAGTAGTGTCTCAAGAAATATCAAGAGGTGGCGCTAGAGAGCCATGTTCAAT